TATTTTTTTTAAACTATTTTTTAATTATAATATTTTGTTATTAATTTGTGTTTTATTATTATTATTATTATTATTATTTTAAATATTAATATTATTTATATTTATAAAAGTAATATTATTTATAACTTTTCTGAAAGTAAAATGAACATGTTTAATCCATTAAAAATATATGTGTTTATGCATTACTTAGATAATATCCAATTTCATAAGCAAAAGCACATGCACGCACACACACATACACACACAAACACTAAAATATATGTTTAACTAAAACCCATAAAGTACAAATTTTTAATATTATTTTTAATCTTTTTTTATTTATATAATGAAATCAATATTGTTGTTGTTGTTATTATTATTATTGATTATTATTATTATTAATTATTATTATTATTATTATTATTAATTATTATTAATTATTATTATTGTTTTTATTATTTATATTTAGAAAAGTAATATTAATAATAACTTTTCTGAAAGTACAATAAAAATATGTAGAATACATTTTTAAAAATATGTTTTTACTAATGTTATATCCAATATAATAAAAGCAAAAAAAAAAAAGCACACACATAAACTCTAGAATGTGTGCTTAGATAAAACCCATGAAGTAAACTCTGGGTAAATAAACATGAACAGAAATAAATTATTTGTAACATTTCTCATTTAAATCAAAATTTTTATTTGATTTGTACTAAAATAACCAGTTGAATCTGAAAAATAACTGATCAAATAACCAGAACACAACAAAATAAAGTAAAAAATGATGATTAAAATATATAAAAATAATAAATATATAAGTAAATAATATATAAGTATGTAACTCCAGATCTCAGTGCAGGATGAGAGAACAGCCTGTAGTGTAGAGTGAGTGATCTGAGGCGCTCATGCTGCGGTTCACCAGTTGAACAAAAGGTGTAAATGGTGGAAATCTGGTGCGGAATTCATCTCACACTGTTTGTGCTGCAGACGTAAATGATTTCTCAAATCATCAAGTGTGATATTGCTTTTCTGAGCAAACTCATTTTCACATCGTGCCTGACTAAGCAGATGTGGCGGAGGCTCCTGAGTCATTCACAGAGATCAGAAGATCAGAAATTAATGCAGAGACGAAGTCTAATCTGCCTAGCAACACTCCAGTCATCAGGATAGCTCATATTTACTGTGGAAAATGTGAAAGTGTGAGCGCTGTGGTGCTGATGTCCTGCACATGCACAGCGTTAAATCATTTCAGGAAATGACATGCATGGGATTATCTGCGCAATTCAATTTCACATGCTAAGCCTTCTGGGTAAAGTGCAGTGAGAGTTGAGTCTACATGTTAAATGGAGCCCTTCAGTAACACACGCCTCTAAATCAAGCATGCAAATATTTATGCATGGCTCTGCCTGCGGGTTTTGCCTTCCCATAAACCCCCTGGGCAGAGACATAGAGAGAGAGAGTGTGTTGTAGATCAGGTTGAACAGACTCATCAGATGCTCAGACCAATGAAAAATATGTATATAGAGTCATTTATATAGTAATTAAATGCCCATCATACATATACATTCATTTACTTATTTTGGGGTTTGTCATAAACTCATTTTCATGCTAACATTATTTTAGGATTATTTTTATTCTTAAAATAATTTTATTTCAGTTAGTGGCTTCTCTTATTCCTAATTTTTCTTCCTTCTATTTTCATTCCTTCCTTTTTTCATCCTTTTTCCTTCTTTCTTCCTTTTTTCATCCTTTTTCCCCTTTTATTCCTTCATTTTTTCTTTCAGCCTTCTTTTTTCTTCTTTACTTCTTTACTTCCTTTCTTCCTTCATTCCATTTTCTCTCATTCCTTATTTTTCTTCCTTCCCTTTTCATTCCTTCTTTCCTTTTTTCCCTTTTTCTTCTGTCTTTTCTTTCGTCCTTCCTTTTTATTCCTCCTTTTTGTTCCTTCCTTCATTTTTTTCTTTCAACCTTATTTTTTCTTTCTTCCTTCCTTTTTCATTCTTCCTTCTTTCTTCCTTTTTTCTTCCTTCCCTTGTTATTTCCTTCCTTCCTTCCTTCCTTCCTTCCTTCCTTCCTTTTTTCCTTCCTTCTCTTTTCATTTCTTCCTTCCTTTTCTGTTATTCCTTATTTTTCCACTTTCTCTTTTCATTTCTTTCTTCCTTTTTTCTTCCCTTTTCCTTCTTTTTCCCTTCCTTTTTTCATCCCTTACCTTTTTATTCCTTCATTTTTGCTTTCAACCTTCCTTCCTTTCTTCTTTACTTCATTCCTTCCTTCCCTTTTCTCTTATTCCTTATTTTTTCTTCCTTCCCTTTTCATTCTTTCATTTTTTTATCCTTTCTTCTTTTATTCTTTTTTCCTTCCTTTTTTCTTCCTCCTTTTTATTCCTTTGTTCCTTTTTTATCCTTTCAACCTTGTTTTCTTTCTTTCTTTCTTCCACTCTTCCTTCGTCCTTTCTTTTCATCTCATTCCTTATTTTTTCCTTCCCTTTTCATTTCTTTCTTCCTTTTTCCCCTTTTCTTCTTTCCTTCTTTCTCTTCCTTCCTTAATAGTTTTTTTTTCAAACTTCTTTTTCCTTTCTTCCTTTCTTCCTTTCTTTAATTTTCCTTTTTTTAATCTTGATATATATATATTTATATATATTTTTTTTTAAATAGCTTTTTAATCAGTTTTAGTTGCCCAGAAAACATTTTCATTTTGTGAGCTTTTGTAAATACAATTATTTGTATTTAATTTCAGCGTAATGAATAACAATTACCCAAAAACATTGTGCTCCTTTTTTGTAGAATCCCTGAACTATTATTTTATTTTTATTAATATTTTAATTTGTATTAAGTAATGTAATTTTGGGAGGTGAAAAGATTAAAAAAAACAATGCACATTTTGGTGTCAGGACAACTTTGATGAAAGCTTTTGCTCCTCTTCTAATGTCGACTACTGTACAAATATTGTATAAAACCTTTTGATCATGCTCAGTGTATATGCTAATATAATAATTAAGCATTTGTGTGTGTGTGTGTGTGTGTGTGTGTGTGTGTGTGTGCGTGTGTGTTTTTCAGGGCAAGAGTCTGATCCCGTCGGCTGCTGGGAACTACAGGCTGAACTACACCGTTCTGATCGGGGATAAACAGTGTGTGTTAACCGTCTCAGAGACTCAGCTGCTGTGTGAATCTCCAAACCTCACCGGACAACATAAAGTCACTGTAAGTGTGTGTTAACATCAGTCCTTTAAAGAACTGTTCATATGGAATTATGAACAATATCTTGTTTACAGTTGTAACGTAGCTGTCATTCAGCGTGAACAGACTGCAAAGTTGCATGATAAATAAAGATGCTGTCTCTTAGAAGCAAGAATCGAATCTGAATCACCTCAACGAATCATTCAATTTTTGAATCATTACAATTTTTAAATCTACATCAACAAGATCAAAGATAACCCAGATAAAGATAAAGTCGCATAATCCAGAGACTGCGTGCAAATGCATGTGTGCATCCGTCTGTGCGTGCATCCATGAGTTTGTGTTGTCTCTCTGTGTATACAGTATATGTGTGTGTGTGTGATTGTCTGTGTTTGTGTGTCTGTGTATATGTTGTTTTGACTGTGTCTGTTTTGTCTCTGTGTGTACTTGTATGTACATATGTGTGTGTGCTTAGTTTTTGAATTACATCATTAAGATCAAAGTAACTAATTTGCATAATCTCCACCCACCTATGGCGTTCGGACACTCTGGAATGGGCGTTTATTTTTTTAACATTTGGAATAGAACTGTAAAAACAGACCTGTCCAGCTGACCAATCAGAGCGGAGTTTGCTTTTGACAGGGGGGCGGGTTTACAGACCTTAAAGGGGTAGTTCAACCAAAAAAAATTTATTTTGGCATCATTTACTCACGTTTTATTGGTTATAGATTTTTTGACAACTGTTGTAATCCTGTAACCATTGACCACCATAGCAGTTGTTTTATCCACTATGCAAGTCAATGGTTACACGTTTTCGGCTTTGTTCAAACCATCTTCTGTAGTGTACAACAGAAGCAGAAAACTCTAAATCCGCTTGAGGGTGCATTCATTTTCAGATCTATTCATTTTTGGGTGTGCTATCCCTTTAGGAGGTGGTACCACAGTGGCGCAGTGCTTAGCGCAGTGGCCTTACAGCAACAAGACTGCTGGTTCGAGCCCTCAGCTGGGTCAGTTGGCATTTCTGTGTGGAGTTTGCATGTTCTCTCCGTGTTGGTGTGGGTTTCCTCCGGGTGCTCTGGTTTCCCCCACAATCCAAACACATGCGCTAAAGGGGAACTGATGAACTGAAAAGGCCCTAGTGTATGTGTGTGTGTGTATGAGAATGAGTGAGTGTGTATGGGTGTTTCCCAGTACTGGGTTGCGGCTGGAAAGGTATCCGCTGTATACAACAAATGCTGAATAAGTTGGCAGTTCATTCTGCTGTGGTGACTGAAGATGAATAAAGGGTCTAAGCTGAAGGAAAATTAATGAAAGAATCTCTTTAAGCACTGAAATGATTCAAATGAACTGAATCAGAGTCATTCCAAAATGATTCAAATGCATAAGCTGAGAAAATTCCAATGTTTTCTGATCTTTGTTTAATAGTTAGACGTGTTCATCTTCCTTCAAGCTATCTTCCTTTGTGTTCAACAGAAGAAAGAAACTCAAAAACAACTTGAGGGTGCAATAATATTCAAAAAACTCAGTTTTTGGGGGAACTATCCCTTTAAGCACTGAAATGATTCAAATGAGTCGATTCAGAATCATCACAAAATGGTTCTAATATTAAAGTCCATAATCTGAGAAAATCCCAATATTATCTAATCTTCGGTTAGTTGTTAGATGTTTTCATCTTTCTTCAAACTATCTTCTTTAGGGCTCAGAAATCTCAAATTTTGGGTGAATATCTCTTTAAGCACTTAAATGATTCAAATGAGTCGAATCAGAATCGTTGTAAAATGATTCAAATATTAAAGTCCATATTGTGAGAAAATGCCAATGTTTTCTGATCTTGGATGAATTGAAACCTGTTGTACGAGACTCAAGACAACATTAGGACTCTTATAAACCCCACATGAGCTGCTGTTGAATCCAGACTCGTCTTCTGTCTCTCCCACGACTATCACTCCATCAGCTCCTTTATTTCTCTTTCTCTCGCTCATCTCTCTCTCTCAGCGTCAGGTTACTGATGGACTTTGTCTCGTCTCTCTGGGGTTTTGTCCTGTATTTATTTATACTGAGTTTGCGGAGGATCTGAGAAGCGGATCTGTATTTACATGCAGTCGGTCTTTAAATAGCGTCTTTATTTGCAGAAGACGGACGTTCAATTATTTTCTGCATGCCAGAGTTATTAAAGCTGTGGCGCTGTGTGTGTTTCCCTCTGTTTCTGAGCTCCAGCAGCCTGAAGGGAGAGACACAGAGACGCTCTAACACACATGTTTGTCCTCGACCCATATATGATGACCCATATCTAGAGACTGTCTGTGTGTGTGTGTTCGTGTATCTGTGTGAGTGTGTGTGTGTGTGTTCATGTGTAAACGCTTTTGTGTGTTGTCTGTGTGTTTGTGTATATGTGTGTCTTGGTACGTGTTGTGTGTAAATATGTTGTTTTGACTGTGTGTGTGTGCGTGCATGTACGTGTTTGTGTGAGTAAAAGTATGTCTGTATATATATATGTGTGTCCCAGTATGTGTGAAATGTGTGTCTGTGTAAATATTGCTTCAAATCTGTATAAATGTGTGTGTGTGTGTGTGTTTGTGTGTGTGTTTGTGTTTGTGTGTGTGTGTGTGTGTGTGTGTGTGTGTGTGTGTGTGTGTGTGTGTGTGTGTAAAAGTCTATTGTCTGAGTGCCTGTTATCATTAGACTGCAGTTTCCTATGTTGTAAGGGAAGGAGAGACACAGAGAGAGAGAGAGAGAGAGAGAGAGAGAGAGAGAGACTTATTAAAAATATCTTTAGCTTTCAGAACAGATTAACTACAGGCAGACAATCAGCTAATGTATTTGATAAATACATTGAGTTTTCTTTATTTTCAAACTAACCACCATTTCCTTTGATTGCTGCTTTGCATACTCTGGCAGTCTCTTGAGGAGCTTCAAGATGTAGTCACCTGAAATGGTTTTTACTTCACATGTGTGCCCTGTCAGGTTTAGTACGTGGGATTTTGTGCCTTATAAATGGGGTTG